ATAACACAAATGAAAAGGAAATGAAAACTCATACAAGTTTGTCTAAATAGAGGAGACAGTAGAAAAGAGGAATGGATATAAGATGTCTAAAGCAAAATTCCTTCTTCAGTTAATAGTACACCCACTCTAAATGGTATTATAAAGAAGAGCAACTGAAACAAATATTCTAAATATAATTATAGCGAAAAAAATATTAAAATATCACACTGTTTTCAACCAAATATTACTATAAAAGTGAGATATTTGATTTTAATAGCCTTGTCCTTTGGTGCATAGAATTAAAAATAGTTTGTACATGAGTCAAGGACCTATTATTTACAAAAAAAAAAAAAAAGAAAATTGTTATTTGCACGACTTTTCTGCTTCTTAAATAGTGGAATTCAGGTGTCAATTAACATGTTGCATGCCAATAACATCTAGCAATGTTAGATTTTGAGCTAAGTGGAATTCATTAACTTAGCAAAGTTAGCTTGATAATTGCCTTCTATGTGTAAGCCTTGACATCTGTATACTTCTTTCTCATTTAAGTCATTTTAACCAGACAAGAGAGTGAAAATTCCACTGAGGTACAGAACCAGGAGACTTGAAGAATTTGAAGAATTCTACAGGTTTCAGATTCTTCAAGTCAAACTTTTTGTGCTTTTGTGTGGTAAGCGTTTGTTATGGCAATTAAGGCTATAGTCTGAGTAATAACAGTAAGTACAATTGAGCCTTAATGCTAAAATGAAAATGAACAGTAAAAATAGCTAAATGAAGAGAGTTTCTAAACATGCATGTTATGTCTAAGCTAAAATCTGCACTTTACTCTGTTTTGAGCCATGTTTAAGTCTGTTATGAAGAATATGGCTTAACATAGAAGTTAAGGGTTGTACTATCTTCTGTGCTTTCTTCTCCATAATTCTGTTATGATGATCCTGATCTTGTTGGCATGTGATTTTACTGTTTCAAGCATATACTTAAGTGCATTACAGAATTGTAATACATGTCATGATCTCTGTTAGCTTGTTAAACCTATAGCTAAGGGAGTCTTTGGATTAGGAGTTGAAACACAACAGATGGTTGATAATTGATCTCCAAATTCAGCATCTGATAATTGTTGTTTATAATGCAAATATTTTTATTAGCCTGATTGGTCCAAACTACTAAATGCTAAACTCAAACATCTATACCAAACACCTCCTAAGTATATGTCCAAACTATGGAGATTTTCTAGCCTAAGCTTCCTTTTGGGAGTATTTTCTGACCACTGCACAGTAGAGATATGTTATTGTTTGCCCTGGCAATAGATGTGAAGGCATGTCTAATCTGATGTATGATCTGTTTAGGCCTCATTATCATGTGCATAACATGTTTCCTGTCATATTTTTTATACTAATAATCTCTAATGACCCTTAAGGTAATTCTAAGCTTAGATAAAATGTTTACTATTGCTAGAACCATAGACATGCCTTTGCTAATTTTGTTGGTCATTTAATCAGCCAAGTGAGTCACATGACTTAAAAGGAGTTATGTATAATCTTGCATTTACATAACATTTAAATTTCACTTACTAGTTAAGCTTATCTGGTTTTAATCTCTGGTTATGACTTTATAAGCTAGTCACTGACTGGGCTCTCAAGCTCACCCTAGTCATCTATTTCATTTCAGATCTTTTGGGTCCATTTGGTTCATGGAAAATTATTTACAGAAAATATTTACCGAGTTTTCTGGTGTTTGGATCTCATTTAGAAAACTGGTCAAAGGAAAATAACTTTAGTCGATGGAAAATGTAAGAAGGTTTTCCAAAAAATGACTTCCCAAAAAATTTTCAAGAAGTTGTTTTCCCCTTCAAAAGCACATAGATCTTTAGATCCAACTGGGACAACTGATTTTCCATAAACGAACTTCAACCCGGTGTCTTTATTGGGTTCAATTAAAGTAGGTTATTTGTTGGATGCTTTGCTCCTACTGGTGGGTGGTGGCGACTGGTGCAGATACTTGTGCTTCCTCAGTTCCCCTTACAACAAACCTTATTAGATTGTTGCTCCTTGAAGAAAAAACGAGATGTTGCTCCAAGAAACAGAACTTCAGTGTAAGCAGGAAGCCAGAAACAGTAGGTGCCGTGGTTAACCATTTTTTGGTGTCTACTTTTAGAAGGTGGAGAAAGCACTATGTTGGCTGAGTTGAGGAAAAGCAAGATGAGGTGGATAAGAATTGGAGTGTACTGCAATTTCTTTTTATAATTTTTTTAAGGGAATTATCTCATTTGAATTTGTGCCAATGATTCATGGTTTCATCCACTAGGAAGTTGCCACATTTGCACAATATATATATATATATATTTGACATTTACGGTCAGTGTATCTCCAAATCAGTTTTAATGCACCTCAAAACTAATTTTTTCCCAGACAATATCAAAGATGCACCCCTTAAATCAATTTGGTATTTAAGGAAAATAACTTTCTTAAATATTGTCTCAGACAATTTTAAAAGTACACTACAAACCTTTTTATTAATGCTATTTCAAACCAAACCATGTTTTCTTGTTAGAAGCTAGTTTGAATTTTGGCCCCTAAAGAGGTGTCTCAAGTGTTTAAGAGCTTGAGACTTAAAGTTGAAAATTTCAAGTTTGAACCTTGAGATGGGTGGGAAGGGATTGAGGGAAAAGGAGGGCTATCCCTTAATTGCTTAGCCCACCATCTAGTGCACAACTAAAAAAAAAAAAAGCTAGTTTGAATTTTGAAATATTTTTGTAAGGACTTTTGAGAACTAATTTTATAAGTTTTGTGATATTAATGTAGTAAAAATGAAAAGATTAATGTCTTTTTATTTTGGACAAAAAAAAAATTGTCAGTTGGAACTATAAAAATTGTCAACGAGCTCTCAAAACAAATTAATTAATTCAAGACCTAGAGGCTGAAACCCCTACCTGAGGTTGTGGGTTCAAGCCCTCTAAATGCTGGTTTTCTCAAGATTTTTTCTGATTTTATGTACTAAAAAACTGCTACTAACAGATTTTCATGCATCTATAACTTATTTATGATTATTTTTGTCCTTCCATAGATCATACTGTAGTAATTTTTTTAATAGTAGTAAAGAAATTGGTATTTGAATTTTTATTTTACAGTAGTCAATTCATAAATAATAAATGTGTGTTTGATTATTTTTAATGTTTAGTTTGAATTTTTAATCTTTAATTAATTAATATTTCAAAATTTCAAAGATTTTCCATAACTTACCAAACAATAGAGTATATTTTCCATAGAAAGTTTTTCAAAGTCTTCAAAACATCAGAAAATCAAAATAATCTTTAGAAAAAAATATTTATATATAGAGCTTCTTCTGTCTGCTGAACATTCTGGCTGCAGGTTTGGGGTAAAATAAATCTCCTAATTATTGCCCAACTGTGGCTCCTATTTTTGTGACCCTTAAGCATATTTTTGTATCATGTATTTTAAAACTTATCATTTAAACGTCCTAAGCTTATAACCCAACTTGTACTTTTGAGATCCTGTACTATACTATCTTGAACTTTTTTTTTTCCTTTTTATTTTCAAGCTTCTGATGAATAAAAATTCTAAATCTGATTTCAAGGGCGGGGATGAATACTATACAAAAGGATCTAGTTACAACCCTTAGCTTGTGCTTTTAGAAGATACAAAGGGAGGGTTATGGCATTGAACCCTCAATGATGTGCACTTCTAAAAAAATTAGGTTTAATTTTGAAACGAATTAAACCTTAATTTGAAGCTCAAATAAGAACTACAAAACATACCAAAAAAAAAAAAAAAAACCCATAATTTAAGGAAAATCCTAACCAGAATGCAAGCTAAACACAGAGATATGTCACAAGCCTTGAGAACAGAAGCGAAATTTAACGGATGCAAAGGGGAAAAAGAAACCTTTTTTGCCAGGCAATTGCTTGCCATCCTTGACGTAAAACTCGCGAATATCGACCCAAATCTTGCCTTGCCAGTTCCTGACCGCAACCCTCCTATTCTTCGATATCTACTCAAATAAAGAAAAATCGTTAAACCCTAGAACAATATTGATGGAAATATACAAATAGAGCGAAACACAGATAAAGAGACCTCGCAGACGATGATCTCATCGGAGTCCTCGGAGTCGACGGTGGAGGTCTTGGGGGCTTTCTTGGGTGGAGCGCGACCGTCATTCTCTTCAGAAGCGCGATCCTCATCGTCCTTTCTTTTCCCTTTCCCCCACATTTTTCAACGAGATTTCTGAATACCGAAAAAAAAGAGAAGGTAAATTCGCTTAGAATGATAAACATAAAAACACAGACTTCCAACCTAGTAATAAATTTGTTTTGAAAAGAAACTTTGCAAGACTGTTTGTGTTATCACACGGTGACGGACCCAGTAGCTCTGATGCTATAATGATAACGGCGCTTTTAGGTTCAGTTTTCTTGTTTATGTTTTTGTTTCTTAAACACGGACATATTGGATTTCGCTCTGGATATTCACTCCAAAACGTAATAGTTGTGCGTTATATTTTAAAATTTATTTATAAAGGTTAACTTCGAGAGAAAAATATTTTGTAAGTAATTTTTTAATATTTTAAAAAATATTATATTTAATTAATATTTTCAAAATTAATTATTAAATTTAAAATTTTATTTACACAATGGTCAAGATCAATGCAGTACTAAGTTCCTAAATTAGGTAAAAAATACAAAAAATCCAGTTTTTATTTTCAAATTTTTAATTATTTTTTAACAAGTCCTTAAATTAATTAAAGAAGTAACATGGCTTTTTTGCTTCAAATACTAATTATTTTTATATCATGTAAGTTTCAAGAGTTAAAAGTGAAATGATCCTAAATCTTAAAATGTATTTTTTATATTTTTTATTTTGATATATAAAATGTAGTATTTTTAAATTTAAAAATTAAATGTTATTAACTCAATTTGTTAATCATAAAAGTATAATTTTAATTGCTAAGTGTATTAATAAAACAATTTATTGTTTTTAAAAAATTAATTTATTTTTCCCATTTATTTCTTATTGAGTGACAAAATCCCACATCTAAATATGAGAAGAAACATATGCAATATAAATATAAAAAAAAGTTACACTAGCTATGCCCAATTAATTTTACCTTCTATGCCAGATTTGGGTTTTGGTCTACTAGTCAAATTTTCGCATGGTAATAGAGTATGATGTATTCCTATTATTTCTGTTAAACATATTGTTAGTCCATGTTATAAGATCCAAGCTTCATATGGCCTTTATATAAAGTGCATATTAAACCATGTAACAAAACCTGACATTTATATTGTATCTATATAAGAAGGTGTGTTGAGTGGGAAAATGTAGTTATTCTCACATTTGGCAAGTTTGAATTTAATTTGGAAGTTGATTTGAAATGTACATTTTCAACTCTTCATTGATTCCAAAATTAATAAATAGATGGATTAAATGTCAATTTCAAGACCATAATTTTAAGGTTTTACAACAATTTTTACCCCTCACATTTTTGCACTTTTTTCCAACCCTCAACTTTGAAAAATGCACTTTTTTTGTCTTTCTCAACTAGTCTATTAAGTCTATTCAAATGTGCACTTTTTTAATGACTAAACTTATATTATATGCACACATTTTTAGTCCTTAGGAACTAAAAATGTTCATATATAGGTAAACTTAATAGATTAATTAATAGAGAAATGAACAAATTGCATTTTTTAAAGTTGAAGGGCTGAAAAAATACTTAAAATAATTGAGAGATGAAAACCATACAAAAACCTAATGTTGAGGAATTAAAATTAGTATTTAACTTAATTAGGTATTAAAGTATGCCATGGCTTTATGAGACATTCTTTATTCTTGTAATTATATTTTATATATACTATAACATTATTTATTAATATTAAATGTTATTCTTTTATATATATTAAATATTGGTAAAATCCTTATAATAGTTTATTGCATCAAAATATAATAGTAATCATTGCTATCAATGAGAAGCCTATGATGCAATAGCACTATTTTTAAATTGTACGTTAGTTATACGTACATAAGTTTGTCAAATTCTAGAATTTAAGTAAAATTGTTTTGGGTAAACAAAATCATAATTGTAAAATCATAATCATAAAATTGAATAGGCAAAATTGAGAATTTATCAAATTTAGCATATAATTAATAAAAATTATTTGTAAATAGAATTCAATAACAAAAAACCTAGATTAGGAAGCAAAGTTGATATACAACATAAACATGTAAATGAGAAAAAAATTAAAATTAGTAAACTTTTTGTTGACATATTTTTTCTGATATTTATTAAAAATCTAATACTAGTTATTAATTATCTAACATTATAAAATTAGAAATTAGTGATCATTTGTCTTACCTCCTAAGAATTTACTTTGTAACTTAGTTAATAATTCTTTATATTGTTTGTATTTTGTTCAGATCAAGTGTTGAATTTAATGTTTTTATTCATATAAATCATATATATCAAATTTCAAATTAATTAAATATGTTTAACTATTTTATAATTAAACTGAATTTTAGATCATTAAATAAATAATAGAAAATACAATTTTTTCATTCCTATAGTTACAAAAAGCATATCATCCAAAATTTTGAAATGCATAGCTATACAAATAAAATATTAAATTCAACAATTAGTTTGACAAAATACAAATTGTATAAATAATTATTTCCTAATGTATGCAATATTTTTAAAATCGAACTGAAGGTCAAATTGTTTTGACCTCTAATTCCTAGATTGGATAGTTAAATCAGTTTGACTCATTAAAATTTAATATGATTGAATTCTAAATGTATATAATATAATATAATATAATATACCTCAAACAATTTGAAGTGATTTTAGTGGTTAGAAAGCTTTTATGCATTTTTAAAGAGTTAGGATTCAAAGTTTCAAATATACCAAATCTACTTAATTATGTAATTATATTATAATAAATATATTTTAAGGCATCAAGTGTCAACAAATATGTTGCACATTTGGTAGTACAAGTAATTTTGACCATAACGATTTGTTAACCTCACATGAGGTGTAGTGTTCAATAACAGATTATTTGGGTTGGTATTTATAGAAGGGATGATTCTATTATAGTAAGAAACATGTACATATATAATGATAGTGATTTAGTTTTCGACTAACTATGAAAAGTAAATATTATAACTTTTTTTTTTATAATTTTACATGTGATATAATAATTAATTCTTTTTGCTTTACTAAAATCTATGATATTGGATACATTTACAAATTTATTTAATTTTTGTGGTTATCATGTACTCATTTTAATAATACATCAAAAATTACATATAAAAATTATACAAAAATATTGTCCGAGTATCTTTACACAATAAAAAAATCTATTTGTACAACTCCAATTCTTGAGAATTGTTAAATTGTTATTAATCATAAATACAAATGATATGGTACAATAGTTGTATGAAATTCCTTCTCCTCATTCATAACCCCTTGACATGAATGTAAGATTTTAATATTATATAAGTAAGGTGCTGCATATCTATTTTGCTTTGAACTTTCTATATTTTCTAAAGAAAAAAGGTATAAGACAAGAATTTTCACCATATTACTTATATAAAATTTTAACAATTCATAAAATAAAACATTAATAATCTAACACCACATATACTTTAATGAATAGATTAGAAATTAGAGTCATTCATTTTATAATTTTAAGGATTAAATTGATTAGATTTAGAGTTTAGGGGTTGTAAATGAAATTTAGTGAAAGTTGAAGGATGTTTAATTCTATTATTCCACTTTTTGTGCCATGTGGCACAATATTTACCAAGTAAACTTATGCTTGAACTTAGAATGCTTTAGAAAAGCCAGTGAGTCATCATTTGAAAGAATTAGAAACAAAACCCACTTCCCCTACACTTTTCTTTCCCTTTCCACTCGAATGTAATGTGTGCGGATGCACTCTCCAATTGAAGTTCCCTACCATTTCTACTATTTTGTATCAGTTTGGTGCTTTAATTTTTGTAGGTGAGTATGAGTTTTGGCTATAGATTTGAGTTAGAGTTTTGGGTAAATTATAGATTTTGCTATAATATACTAAAAATTAGTTTAAGTTGGTGAAATATGACTTTAAATCTTTTGTTTAAGAGATTTTTGGAAATTAGAATTTTGTTTAGCAATATTTGGAATTTTGGGCAGATGTACGGTTTGGAGTTTTAAGTGGGTTTTAGTTTTATGCTTGAATCATGTGTGAATTTTATTAGTTATTTACTTGCTATGGTTGTTTTGATATTTCTTTGTACATTTATGTGAAAACTTTTGGAAATTTCATGATTAAGCTTAATTGGAGTTGGGCGCTACCCGTGACTAGTGCACTTGAGATTTGGTTGATTAATCATGCATTAATTGCATTGTTAAAATAAGTAATCAATTTTAACTCTTGTTTTAGTGAAGTCTACAATTAGATATGGGATGTTTAAAGTGGATTGCTTTGGATATGAGATTGATTAAGTGAAATATTAAAGGAAATATTAAATGAAATATTAAATGAAATAATATTCATATATTATTTTGAATGTGTTTTGAATTTGTTTGATATTTGTATGTGTTTGTGACTATAGAGTAAGTGGACCTAAGCTTAAAAGCTTGGGGTATTTAGTGGACCCTCTTGGACATTTAGTAGGCCTTTGTGCAATAGATTAGTACCGTGATTAGCACCGGTACAAGTGTAGTTAGCACACATCAATGGACTTCACAACATTTTGTGATTTTTGTTTTATGCATTATGCTTGAGACATCACATTTGTATATGGATTTGACTCAAATGTCATTGGATAATCTTGACAAGTTTGATTGACTATGAACAACCTTGTGATATTAAATTATTATTCGAATATTAAGATTTATAATATTATGTGACTTGGTTTAAATTGTCTGTGTGTAGGTCTAAGGGTTTTAGGACCTAAGTTTGTAACTTAAACTTAATACTTACTGGGCTTTTAACTCATGATATTTCCCCTCATTTCAAATCAGTAGATTGGAGTAGTAACCACTCAGCTTGAGAGCTTTCGATATAAGTCTCATATGCTCTTTGTATGTAGAAGTTAGGACCTTAGGGGTTTTGATGTGAAGGCAAATTAATATGTTACCAAAACGATAATTCTACTTTTATTATTTTAGAAAATTTTTGAAAAGCATTTGCTTATGTATTTTTTTGTGTAAATTGCTTTTATGTATATAATATTTAAATCGATCAAAATGGGCTTAGCCTAATTTATTTTACAACTTTGAGTATTTTGATATTTCCTAAGATATTTTCCATTAAATTAGTTTTCCTTTATAGGTAATTGATTTTCTCTCTATAAAATTTTAAATTGATTTAAAAGCAGGTTTTTCTCATAAGGAAACATTTTATATTAGATAAGTTTTTACTTCCGTTGCAATTTTTTTCTATAGATATTTCCTGCTATTTTTTTTATTTTGTGCATTACATTTCCTTATTTGATAAACCAAAAGGTTTACCAAAAGGGGGATGTTACAAATTGGTATCAAAGCCAAGGTTTTGTTAATACATTGATCTGCCATGTGGGTTAGAGTCTGTTGACTCAATGTACTCCAAAAGGGGGGGTGAATTGGAGTTCCAAAAATTCTCCCCTTTTTACAACCACAAAACCAAAATTAAAGAGAGTAAAGAAGAAGAGCTTGCTCAATGATTTATAGAGGTTCGGTCCAACCACTTGGAACCTAGTTCTCTACCTTGGCTTCACTCACCAAGGATTTCCTCCACACTCTCCACTAACAACAACAAGGGTGGCTTAAAGGAGCCACTCAATTCTTTTACAAGAATAAGGGTGTTTCTCTCAAATCTCACCCCTTTACAAGATAAACCCAAACAATCCTCTTTACAAATCACTCTTGAAGGAATAGTTACACCCCTAAGATTACTCACAAATAGAACAAGAAGAGGATTACAAATAAAGATCTCTCAAAGATCAAAATCTCAAGTTAAAGCACAAGTTGGTAGGTAAAGATATTCAATACAATGCTCTCTAAACTTGTTCATATATGTTACCAATCATATTTATAGCCCCTTACTCGAAAATAGCCGTTTCTAGCCGTTGGGGGTCATTAAATGCTCTGCAAGACGCAAAGCTCGAGTTGCAGGATTCTCAGGAGAGTCGGCTTAGCTTTCTAGAGCCGGCTTTATACAGCCGGCTTTGTGGGATTCCTGCACATTCTGTTTTCTTCCACAACCGGCTGTAAAGCCTAGAGCCGGCTTTAGGATTCCAACTTTAAACACATTAAATAATCTTCAAATAACTCGACCGTTATGCATTAAATGCACCCTCACAGCTGGTTGCAAAGTTAGAGCCGACTTTGCGTCTTTTCTCCACGCGCACCAAACAACAGACCTTTAAATTTTTACCCGTAGAGCCGGTTGCAGCTTCCACCAGAGTCGGCTCTCTGCACTTCCATTTCACCAGAGCCAGCTGCAGCTTTTAAGAGCTGGCTTTTTGCACATTTTCAATCCTTTTGGTCTATTTTTAGTGCAGTCTAAGTTTACTTGCAATCTTTTAGCAACTTAACTACACACTTAAATAAACCAATTAGTCACTCAAATGTGCTTTGGAATCATCAAAATCATAGGTACAACAATCTCCCCCTTTTTGATGATGATAAAACACTTTGAGAATTAATTAATGAAAGCACATATATACTTCAATATTAACCAGAATTTTAGCACAAAGATACTCCAGAAAATGACATTAAATTCAGCATATTCTTCTCCCCCTTTTTGTCATTCATCAAAAAGCACATAATCAACAAACTCCCCCTTAATTCATGCACATCAATCTTTAAAGCATTTAAGCATGATAACCATTAAGAAGAGCAATTTAAGCACAAAATGCTCCCCCTCAATAAAAGTATACAGTCATCAAAATCATAAACAACCATTCACAAAGCATGATAACACAAGTGATGCCATTTCCATTCATAAAACAAGATAAAAAGGTTCAAGAAATATCCATAGTCAAAGAAAAACATAATCACAAGCCTAAAAACATAAAATGCATAACCCTGAGATGTCCATCCTAAAGATTAGCTAAACTAAAGAAATATCAAGTTAGGTGGCACTAGGTGGGGGTGGAGGAAAAAAATGGTTAACAAGCTGATCAAGCTTTCCATCCATGGTATCCATTCTCCCTCTCATTTCTGTCCAAAAACCATAGAAGTCGGTGTGCAGCTGCCACATCTCATTTATCATTAGCTCCATGGTTTCACGGTTTGTCCTTTGCATGGAGCCTTGAAAGGGTCTTGGGCTATCACCTCCATGTTCCTCTTCCCCCTGTTCTACCATTTCTTGATCCGCATTACCTTCTTCTTCATCACTTTGCTGTTCCATTACTTGATCCCCTTTCTTTGAGCAAGAATATGACTAATAATCCACTGTAATGCTCTATTTTTTAGTGAAAGAAAGCCCACACTAATATGATTTGTAGCACATGTCGGTGCAAGTGCGAGTCTAATTTCTTCATGGTTGACATTCTCAAATTCATCATCTCCACCCTCTGATATTTCTAATACATTGCAAATCTCTCTAGGTGAAAACTGAATCACTACTCCATTAACCTTAGTTTTGCACTTCTCCCTTTTTGGTTTCAAATTAGCATAGAATTGGTAAACCACATCATTATACACATGCTCCTTAATCTCTAAAAAATTACTCCATCCAAGTTCCCTAAAAATCTCTTCTACATGCATATTCCCTTGAGGAAACTGACTAAACTTCATATTGTTGCATGGTAACACAGCCAAATTTTTAACAAAATTATACTGATTGAAGGCATCATCATCCCAAAATAGAGAAGTATTATAAAGGGTACCTTCCTCCTGGGCTTGGCCATCGGCACTAGAACTCCCAATCTATTTCCTCTTGCTTCCGCCCCTTCTTGAAGCCATGAGAGAGAGAACTCAGTAAAACCCAACCAAAATTGGAGCAAAAAGCTTGTGGATTTGTGTAAGGATTTGAAGATATTTGAGTATTTGAGGGATGGGTTTTTGTAGATTTTGAGGGATTTTGGTGTTTGGGAGAGTGAATGGCGAGTTTTGGGAGAGGGAGGTCCGAAAAATGCCAGATCTAGTGCGAAGAGAGAGAGGCCCGAAATATTTAAAAAGCTGCAGGAGAGCCGGCTTTGGTCCTGGAGCCGGCTCAATCTTAAAGAGAGAAAACTCTCGGGTTTTTGGGTTGAGCGGGCTGTGAAAATGGTTAAGCCGGCTCTACTGGCCTTGATTGGGACAAACAGAAAATTTGGGGCTGTTTTGAAGGGAGTGTACCTAATTTGATATTTCTTCCTTTAATCAAGTTTAAATTGAACATCAACTACTAAATTATGCAACTTTAGTCATATATCAATGTATGCATCATCAAATACCATGAATATAATCAAGGTACACAAATTCTAATAATCAAATTCATTAATTTCAAGAATCATATCAATCACTAGGAAAGACACATCAAATGGAATCATACTCAACAAGCATATGTATCAAAGAGTGAGCACACATAAACCAATAATTAATAGTCATGCTAATGTGATTATACTTAATGAATAAATGCAATACGATAAATGATACCAATTTGAGCACATGAGTGGAGCATTCAAAAACAAATTCTCTTTTCACTTCCACTCCAACATTCTTGTTGAGGCATAAGTCTTTTTAAGATCTACTTTGCTTTCCTTATGACTTTACCATCAACTTTTCCTATAAAACAAAATTAAGTTTTGATTTTTGGTACCCAAATTTGATTGGGTCCATGGGGGTTAGTGCTTAAAGTTCCTTTTGGAACTCAAATTTGCTTCACTTTACCTTGAGCTATCAATCTCTTCAAAGGACATACGTAAGTAAAGTGTTCATTTGTACCACAACAATAGCAAGTAACATTAGGATGATAGGATTGACTTGCTCTTACAAAAGAATTCTTGAAAGTCTTTTGCTTTTTAGAATAATCAAATCCAATGCCCCCTTTGTCATAAATACTTCTTTGAGATTTTAAGATAGAATCAAAATTTTCTTTACTCAAGGTAAATTTGGAAATCACATTCTCAAGATCACAAGCTTTTCTCTTTAAGACCTCATTTTCCTTCTTTAAATCTTCATTTTCCTTCTTTAAATCCTCATTTTCCTTTTTTAAAGCATTATTAGACTCCTCATTCTTTAAAAAAGCAATCTCACCATTTAAAGAGGCATTCTCTTTAACTAAAACCTCATTTTGTTTTGAGAGAGATTCAATCTCATTCCTAAGCAATGAAATGGTTTTTAGTAAGAGCAATATTCTCATTTCCTAGTTTCTTAATGTCATTCATAGAGCAATCAAGAACTTTGCATAAATCATCATAAGAATACCCAAATGAACTTTCATTAATTGAACTAGAGAAGTTAGAGTTTACCTCCTCATCATTGTAGCTATCCTCTTGAGCCATGAAGCAAAGATTTGCAACACCATTTTCCAAGGAGCTTTCACTTTCCGTTGAGCTAGTCTCATCATTGCTCCAAGTGGCGGTAAAAGCTTTCTTCTTCATGCTCTTCTTGTTCCTTTCACCTTTCTTCAATTTGGGACATTCATTTCTATAGTGCCCCATCTTGTTGCACTTATAGCATTTCACGCTCCTTTTGGTAGACTCTCCTTCATCTCTTTTTGCAAGCTTGCTCTTGATGTGCTTCTTCGTGAATCTCTTCACTTCCTTCGAAATCAATTTGGTGATGTCCTCCTCATTGCTAGACTCATCATTACTAGCATCATCTTCACTCTCTTCCTTTTGGTTGCTAGCCTTGAAAGCAACATTCTTCTTCTTCTTCTCTCAACTACTTCAACTCCACCATCAACTTGAACTTTTATCTCATATGTCATCAATTTTCCAATGAGATCTTCAAGCTTGAGGGTGTTGAGATCCTTAAATTCTTCAATTGCGGTCTTCTTGGCTTCCCAATTCTTGGGCAAGCTTCTAAGAACCTTCCTCACTACTTCTTGAGAAGGATAGACTTTACCAAGAGCCTTGAGATTGGTGACTATATCATTCAATCTTGTATACATTTCTTGAATGCTCTCCTCCGGTTTCATCTTGAAAAGCTCATACATGTAAATGAGTCTATTGATTTGTAACTCCTTCACTTGGCTTGTTCCTTTATGTGTTACCTCCAACATGTCCCACATCTCCTTGGTCGTATCACATCCAAATACTCTATGGAATTCCGTTGGATTGAGAGCACATTGAAGCATATTGATTGCTTTGTTGTTGATCATGATCTTCACCAAGTCTTCATCATTCCATTCAACTTCTTCCTTTGGCACCTCACTTTCCCCAACTACTTTCATAGGCACATGTGGACCTTTCATAGTCACAATCCATGCCTTGGGCACATTTGCAAGCATGAAGACCTTCATCCTATTCTTCCAATAATTATAATTAGTACCATCAAAGAAAGGAGGCTTAGTGGTAGACAAACCTTCAAGTGGTTGAGAAGATTGAAATTGAGCCATCCCTGATCAACTCCAAGGTGGTTAAACCTTCAAATTGGATCCCTTGCTCTGATACCAATTGTTGACTCAATGTACTCCAAAAGGGGGGGTGAATTGGAGTTCTAAAAATTCTCCCCTTTTTGCAACCACAAAACCAAAATTAAAGAGAGTAGAGAAGAAAAGCTTGCTCAATGATTTATAGAGGTTCGGTCCAACCACTTAGAGTCTAGTCCTCTACCTTGGCGTCACTCACCAAGGATTTCCTCCACACTCTCCACTAACAACAACAAGGATGGCTTAAAGGAGCCACTCAATCCTTTTACAAGAATAAGGGTGTTTCTCTCAAATCTCACCCCTTTACAAGATAAACCCAAACAATCCTTTCTACAAATCACTCTTGAAGGACTAGTTACACCCCCAAGATTACTCACAAATAGAACAAGAAGAGGATTACAAATAAAGATCTCTCAAAGATCAAAATCTCAAGTTAAAGCACAAGTTGGTAGGTAAAGATATTCAATACAATGCTCTCTAAACTTGTTCATATTTGTTACCAACCATATTTATAGCCCCTTGCTCGAAAATAGCCATTTCTAGCCGTTGAGGGTCATTAAATGCTCTGCAGGACGCAAAGCTCGAGTTGCAAGATTGTCAGAAGAGTCGGCTTAGCTTCATAGAGCCGGCTTTGTACAGCTGGCTCACCATTTCTGCAGCCGACTTTGCGGGATTCCTATACATTCTGTTTTCTTCCACAGCCGGTTGTAAAGCCTAGAGCCGGCTTTAGGATTCCAACTTTAAACACATTAAATAATCTTCAAATAACTCAATTGTTGTGCATTAAATGCACCCTCACACCCGGCTGCAAAGTTAGAGCCGGCTCTGCGTCTTTTCTCCATGCGCACCAAACAACGGACCTTTAAATCTTTACCCGTAGAGCCGGTTGCAGCTTCCAAAGCCGGCTCTCTGCACTTCCATTTCACCAGAGCCGGCTGCAGCTTTTAAGAGTCGGCTTTCTACACATTTTCAATCTTTTTGGTCTATTTTTAGTGCAGTCCAAGTTTACTTGCAATCTTTTAACAACTTAACTACACACTTAAATAAACCAATTAGTCACTCAAATGTGTTTTGTAATCATCAAAATCATAGGTACAACAGAGTCTAGTGTCATAGGATTAGATTTTTGCCTAATTATTAGTTTTTGCACTCTTTACTTGTATCAATACCGAAGGAGAAAGATGAGTCAAGGAGGCAATACTTCTACTCCTACTGCTACTTACGATGTGAATGCTAGAAAAGAGTAATGAATAGGTTGAAGTGTGTGTGAAACTAGAATGAGATTTAGTTTCTGACTATGAGAAAAGATTGTTAAAAGTATTTCATAGTGTGTGCTAAATGTTTTGCTGGGGTACTACACTAATTTTTGATCTTGATGTAACAAAATAGGAATTAAAAATAAAAGAGAAAGGGAATTAATCTCTTTCATGTGAACATAGGTGGTTAGTAACTATGAGGGGATTTAGCCAAATCTAGGCAGAAGCCCTTAGAAGAATAATGTGACTATGTTACAAATTAGGGACTAAATGGTATTAAAATTTTATCAATTACTTAAACCCTTTGGGATGCAAGTAGTGAATTTGCATAGCTGAATTTTTGCATGCAAGAATTATTATGCAAAGATAAAGAGTTAGGAGGAAGGCTAAATCTTCAATGTAGATATTTATTATAGTACGTAGTACATTAGCTAGTAGCTAGTAGATGAGTTTAAAAAAAAAAAAAAAGGAATAAAGGGAGAGAAGTAACACAAGGGTGTTAAATGCTAGAATGGAGGTTGAATACATGTTATGTGTGAGCTAACATTTGTATTATCCTCTTTTATCTTTGGTTGCTCAAAGTTTGTTATGTTATCTTAGGCCTCACTAACATATTGAGTATATTGTTGAATAATATTATGCGACTAGAATTTTGTCATGATTGTTTAGTCTAAAATAAAACTAGATGCAAGTTAAAGTGAAGCATTAGTTATTGATGTTTTCTAGTATTTGTGACCCTTTAGTATTGGTTATAAACTATGGCTAAAGGGTTGGAGGACCAGGCATGCTTTGTATGCTTTGGTGATTGTGTGCTTATCAAATGTATCTACTATGGATTATGCTAAGCACTAAGAGAGGTCGGACCAATATCTAAGTTTATGAATAGCTGAATTATGAACCCTATCACAAAGCATAAGAGGAAGGAAGAAATAGTAGAGTGGAACCTACTGTTAGTACATGGAGAGTGGTATTAAGGAATGGTGAAAATTTCTCTATGATTATGATCCAATTGTTCCCTACTTCTATTTCAAAGCAAAGAATATTTATGTTAGAATTTCAAGAGGAGTATGATAGTGTCAATTTATAAACTCTTATTTTACTTAATGTCAATTGAATAATGGTAGAGTAATTGGCATAAGGATATCTTTAATGAAGATAGACTGCATTTTGGAATAATTTGGGACTGTGTGAGGTGGATTAAGTGTTGAAAGTTAGTTCTAATATTTTATGAGAGTGTTAACTCCTGTTTTGGACTTTCTGGTTTAGTATAATTAAGTAGTGTTTATAGAGGCATTCCTTGATTGAATTATATTGTATAAGGTTGGTTGAACCTCACTGATTGTGAATATATTAGTTAATGTCAAATGTTCAACTTCATGAGTTGAAAGACATGGATTGAATTCTTGTGATGCACAAGAATTTTCAGTTAATTGATGATAGAGTATGTGATTTCTATCGTATTGACATCTTTAAGCTATGCTTAAGAAGAGTATCATATGTACTATTTGTGAATGAAACTTATGAATTATATGACATAAGCTTACTATTATTCGATGTTGACATGCTCAAGAATAGGGAAACCCTATAAGCTACATGCTATTGGAAATCTGATTTGTAAGTACTAGGGGGCTTAATTCAATTTTTAGTCTATTAACTATCACCTTGATTTCATTTTAGTCTAAAAACTATGTTTTATTTCTAAGTGGTCTATTAACTTTCAAATTCATTTCAATTTCATCTACCTGGTTATTTTTGACGGAAAAGTTACTATTCTGTTAGAGAACAGTTAGTCCTCTAACTATATTTATTTTGATATTTTAGTCCTCAAATTTATATTTACTGTAAAAACAACTTTTATACTTAAAATTATTATTTTTAGGCTCTGATACCGAATTTTTATTCAGGTTTTTCTCATTTTTTTAATTCTTCTTAGGGTATTTTCATTAATTATTTCTATTTTTAAAATATTATCAGTTATTCATTAGTTAGTAGTAGTCTGAATTAAGTTCTGAAAACCCGAATAAAAATCTGGTATCAGAGCATAGAAATAATAATTTTAAGTATAAAAACTATTTTTACAGCAAATATAAATTTGAGGACTAAAAGATCAAAACAAATATACTTAGAGGACTAACTGTTCTCTAACAGAATAGTAACTTTTCCGTCAAAAATAACCAGGTAGACGAAATTGAAATAAATCCGAAAGTTAATAGACCACTTAGAAATAAAACATAGTTTCTAGACTAAAATGAAATCAAGGTGATAGTTAATAGACTAAAAATTAAATTAACCCGTACTAGGGAGATGATGATCTTTTGCCCATGACTAGGTACAAGGATGTTCCTAAAGTTATTTGGAACATTGTTATGTATGTGTATGCATGTTATTTTTTTAATAGAATTACAATGTTCACAATTATTCATAATGAGCAAATATTAGCTTAAATAATTGTGTTCCTTTCTTATGCCTGTGTGAGAAAAGGATGAATGGTAGAAAAGTTATTACTTCTGCCTAAGCTTCTATATATATTAAAATGAAAGTAATGTAGGAATTCATTCCAAATTGAGCACTACTATTAAGGGATTTCTGCATACTGAACCAGGAAGCACAAAGTAGTCCTTCCAAGGATTTCTATGAGATAACTCAGTAAGTAAAATATGGATAGTTTTCACTGAAATTAAAGCATGCCAAGTAAACATTTTAATTTCAAACAAGAAGAAAATATTAGTTGTAAATCATTTATGCATATTGAAATTTATTTAGTGGTCCCTTTAATTAATCATAGCTAGTTTACTTTCCCAACTGGTTGCATTGCAAAAATACCAATGTAATCTCCCACTGACAGGATGAACCGGTCCTATAGAAATACATGTTGACATGTGCCAGCGTTTATAACTCCCATTAGTAGGATAACAAAATTCATGACCATATTGGAGACAAAACCATGTAAGAGTTAACAAGAAAATTTGTAATTTACAAACCAATCTCAAATCATCAAAACAGTCAAGTAAATTCTAAGTAGGCATGCTCAACCCAATAAAATAATAACTTCATTTTAAACCAATCATGCTCATGTGCTAATGAAAATCAGGTTTGGTCACGCCACCATTTCAAAAATAGTTCAAAATATGCTTTTAAAACATTTACCTTAAAATCCAAGGGCAATTACCCTAGTTTTGTTGACTCAATGTATCCAAGAGGGAGGGTGAATTAGAGTTCCAAAAATTCTCCCCTTTTGCAACCACAAAACCAAAATTAAAGAGAGTAGAGAAGAAGAGTTTGCTCAATGATTTTATAGAGGTTTGGTCCAAGCACTTGGAACCTAATCCTCTACCTTGGCTTCACTCACCAAGGATTTCCTCCACACTCTCCACTAAGAAAACAAGGGTGGTTTAAAGGAGCCACTCAATCATTTTACAAGAAGATGAGTATTTCTCTCAAACCTCACCCCTTTACAATATAAACCCCAAGAATCCTCTCTATGGATCACTTTTGAAGGATTAATCACACCCCTAAGATCACTCACAAATAGAACAAGAAGATGATTACAAATAAAGATCTCTCAAAGATAAAAAAACTCAAGTTAAAGCACATGTAAGTAGGTAAAGATATTCAATGTAATGCTCTCTTAACCTCCTTCAGATCTTATACCAACCATATTTATAGCCCCTTGCTCGAAAATAACCGTTTCTAGCCGTTGGGAGTCATTAAATGTTCTGTAGGATGCAAAGCTCGAGTTGCAGGATTGTCAAAACAGCCGGCTTAACTTCATAGAGCAGGCTCTGTACAGCCGGCTTATCATTTCTCCAGTCAGCTTTGCGGGATCCTGCACATTTTGTTTTCTCCGTAGAGCCAGCTGCAAAACGCAGAGCCAGCTGCAAAACGCAAAGCCAGCTTTACGGGTTTGTTGTACATTCTGTTTTCTTGGACAACCGGCTATGAAAACGTAAAACTGGCTTTGGTATTTCGACTTTAAAAATATTAATTATTCTTCAAATAAGTCGACCGTTGTGCATTAAATGCACCTTTACAGCCGGTTGCAAAGTTGGAGTCTGCTTTGCGTCCTTTCTCCGCGCGCCAAACAATGGTCTTCAAATCTTTGCCCGTAGAGCCAGTTGCAATCTCTTTAGGCCAGCTTTCTGCACTTCCATTTCATAGAACTGGTTCTCTGCACATTTTCAATCCTTTTGGTCTATTTTTAGTGCAGTCCAAGTTTACTTGCAATCTTTTAGCAATTTAATTACACACTTAAATAAATCAATTAGTCACTCAAATGTGTTTTGTAATCATCAAAATCATAGGTACAACAAGTTTTACTTACCTTGCCTTGTAGGTATACAACAAGTAAGGAATTTAAGAACTCAAAGCTGTTAAGGCGATTTAGAACCTATACCACATCAAATGAATACTTAGAATAGGCTTAAAATAGCGCCAAATGTCACACTAAATAGTAGGTATTCCAAATAGCTTTTCTGGGCAGAATAAGATGGAAAAATGTGGGAAACTGAGCTCAAAACCATCCTAGACACTAGTAGAAATATTGGGCAACAAAGTAGGGGTTTTTGCTATTTAAAGTAGTCCTAAATTCTTGGAAAAACACCCAGAATAGCAAGGATTTCTGGGTAAAAGACAGTAGCAAAACATGGTAGATTACAAGCTAAAACTGGGTAGCATTCAAGTAAAAATGCAATAGCAAAAAGGCAGCCAAAACAAAGCAATAACTAGGAAAACAGTAGCTAAAAGTCTAATCAAACCATGATGTGATATGACAATAAGTACTGTGGGAATAAAGCAAAAAACAAAGCAAAATTTTGGGTACTTTTGAGAGCAGTTTTGGTCAAATTTTGAATTGGAAGTTCCAATAAAATTTACACCTAAATTGACCAATATGGGTTAAATGGTTAACAGATAAATTGTAGCCCTATGTCTTAGCGTTCTATAGGATTAAGAATCATCTTAATTTGACATCTATAGAGAAAGTTATGGCTAAAATACTAACATAAGGTTAGATTGCTAGTTTTGTCCACCTTTAGGAATTAAACTTGTAGTAGAGTTTTACTATGAAAACAGCTTAACTGGGTTAAATATACAACAGAAAAACTGTAGGGCTATCTCTTGACTTTCCACAAAATCAAGAATGGACTCAATCTGATATCTACAAAAAGAGTTATAGGCAAAACACTACTACAAGGTCATGTTGTCAAAATTTCCAGCAAGAATAGGAATTAGATTCTAGTGGTGCTAGAGTATGAGCAGAGGTCAAGCGAAAACTACAGAAAAATCATAAAATTGAAAACCTTAAAGGACTAGAGTTAACTTAATTCAAATCAAAGATGAAAACATGAGCAATATGGCTAATTTCTTACCAGAACATGCTGGAAAGATGGTGACCTCTTACACTACTCAAGAACTTTACATAAACCAGCAAATTGGAAGGATATCAATAGCAAGATCTGGGTTTTGCTTATCATTTTGAGAACCATGAGCTCATAAATCTCTAACCCTTGCTAATAGAAGGAAGAAAACGCTAAGTCTCACCTTTTTTTTCCAACAAGGAGGTGTTAAGGTTTGTGGAGGCAAACTTCTAATGAAGGCTAGGAGAAACATGCAGAAATGGGCAAGGAGAAATAGAAATCAGCCTTAACCCCTTTTATCACCAAAATTTTCTTTTAACCCACCTAGGTTTGGAAATTTTTAGCTATTATGTCAAAAAATAGTAATTTCTATCATATAAGTCCCTAATTTAAATTCTAAAATTTTAAAAAAATTTGGGATATTACAATGTGTTATTAATTTAACCAAGGGTTTTCTTTTCTTTTCTTTTCTTTTTTTTATAACACTCTTATTATGGATTAATGAAAAGTTGCATTAATATAAATTGTTAAAGTTGATAAACTTTGTTAGAATTTTTGTGAATTAAACCCTACATTTTTAGAAAATAATTGATAGATTATTTTAATACAATTTTTTTACAATCTTACATATGATATAATTGTCACGCCCCAGAACCTAAATCCGAGGCGCGACAGACGCCGTACATTCGTGAGACGGGTCCCACAAGTGCACAAGGCTCGGAACTTATTCAAATCACAATCTGATACCACAAACTCTCAAGATAAAATTTTACAATCTGCTCTGATATCATAAAATCTCCAAATACACTCTAACTTACAAGAGCATGATTTATTTCTAAAACTATATCAATCTCGAAATGGCTAGCTTTCTAACTCGTCACTTCCCGTGATTTCCCGTCCTCGGTTTTCACTTCCTGAAATGGTGGACAAGGAAAAACTATAAGATAAACTTAGTAAGTAAATATGGAGTGCCCATTATCAAACTTATAGCATGCCAACATGTGCAATCACGAAAAACGGATACAATACGAGAACGAAATAGACGTCTCCTCTATAGGTCACGGCCAACGTCTAACACCCACTGGCACGCGTACTGTTTGCTGGTGTATAATCCCCACAAGCAGGGTCACTATTTGCTGGTGTATAATCCCCACAAGCAGGGTCACTGTTTGCTGGTGTATAATCCCCACAAGCAGGGTCACTATTTGCTGGTGTATAATCCCCACAAGCAGGGTCACTGTTTGCTGGTGTATAACCCCCACAAGCAGGGTCACTGTTTGCTGGTGTATAATCCCCACAAGCAGGGTCACTGTTTGCTGGTGTATAACCCCCACAAGCAGGGTCACTGTTTGCTGGTGTATAACCCCCACAAG